GTGGACAGAGGCGTGATCGACCGGAACAGGGCGCAGGGGAGCTGGGAGTCCCTTTACCTCTTCGCCGTAGTCCTCGGGACCGAATTCCTTGCAGAGTCGGGGGACAGCAGCGCCCCCCAGCGGGCAGCCGGGCCGCAGAGGACAGTCTACGGGAAAAGAAAGCCGCCTGTCAGGGAGAGGGACTGGCCGGAGACCTCACCCACCGCGTGAGACTCAAAACCCTGCTGAGAACAGACAGACCCGAGAGAGGCTGCCCTGCCCGCCTGGATGCCCCGGTCCCGTCACGCCTGCTTACCTAGCTTGATCCGCCCCGCTGTCTTCGGAACCAGCGGCATCTCGCGTGGGCGGGAGCCCTGTGGAGCCAGTACTGGACCCTGCTATGGGCAGCCTGTGCTCAGCGTCTGGACCTCAGTCTCGGACCCTGGAGGGACCCCGGAGCAGCGGCACCGACACCGCCGCCGAGTCGGGGTGAGTGGTGGCCTTGGGCGGGCGTGTGGGAAGGCTGGAGCCCCTTCTCCGTTAGTCACCTCACTCACCTGCCAGCCTGACTACAAAGGCAGACCCTTTAAAATGAACACCCCTTGGCCCCCCGACCCCTCTGCAACCCGGGGATCCAGGCTATACCTTCTGAGCCTTCTAAGCAAAGTCTTGCTTTTCACCCGCGTCTTGAGTTTGGGGGGGGTGGGGGATGCCTCCTCTCTCCCCACATCGTCGCCTGGGCAGTGGTTGTAGAAAATGGAGGCCTTGTTTGCAGGCGCGAGTCATTTCTCCCACTAGCGTCCCTGCCCCAGGAGTGTGAGCAGGAGCTGGCTTCTCTGTGTCACAGCCTGTTTCATCAGTCTCTTATCCCGAGCTGGGACCAAGGTGAGGAGAAAGGGGCACTGGGAGTGACGCAAGCCCCGGTTGACCTTTCCCCATCAAACCGTGCCCCCTCGCCTGCAGTCTTCTGCCAAGCCCTGGGGTCTGCTGGTGACCAGAGCCGCCTTTCCTCATCCTCTCATACCACCGCACTTCTGCAGCAGCTCTTCCCTCCTCTCTTGGATGCCCTTGGAGAGCCCAAGGCAGGGCTGCTCCTCTGTCAGCCTCCAGGTGAGACAAGCAGCTGGGGTTGGCCAAACAGGAGCACAGCTGAGGATATCTCCTTTCTTCTTTCCCTCTATTCTAAAGGCTGGCTCCTCCCTGAGGTGCTCCATGACCCCTCAGAGACTTGTCCCTCCCCTCCCCAGGCCCTGTACCCCTTGCCCTGGGGCTCAGCACCTTGCAGACAACCTTGCTCTGGTTTTGGGGCAGAGCTCAGCAGCATCTGGCAGCATGGGCCCCAGGTTCCTTCCTGCCCCTGATCCAGAAGGACTTACCTGTAAGTAGCTAGGGATGGGGAGGGGAGCCGCCCAGGCTGGGCTCAGACCTCACTCCCTGTTTCTGCCAAAGCCTCTGTTACATCAGGCAGAAGTTCTCTCTAGCCTGGCCTCAGAGGACAGCCTGGCCCTGGAGGTGGAGCAGCAGCTGGGCCTGGAAATCCGGAAGCTGACAATACAGATCCAGGTGAGGAGAGCAGGGACCCTGACAGTGGCTAGCTTTTGTGTTGGGGGTAGGCGTGGGGCACAGAACATCTCAGAGACTTGGAATCTTCTGGGAGTCTCTGCTAAATTTATCTTTGTTGCTTTGTTCATTTTTCTACCTTTTATTATGGAAAATTTCAAACATACGCAGGTAGAGAGAAGGGTATAATGGAGTCCCATATTCCTACCACAGAGGCTTTAACAGTGATCAACGCATGGTCAATTTTGTTTTATCTATGTATCCCTTCCCCCAAGTCAGCCTCTCATTTGGTCATGTGAACGGCCACTGATGATCATTGCTTAGATTCATGATTTCTGTTCTTTTTTGTGTGTTAATCCACACCCGAAGATATTTTTTTCCATTGATTTTTAGAGAGTGAAAGGGAGAGAGAGCTACAGAGAGAGAGAGAGAGAGAGAGAGAGAGAGAGAGAGAGAAACATTGATTGATCGCCTCCTGCTTGTGCCCCCATGCATTCAGTACCCCAGCCTTCAGTCTGAGGGTCAATGCTCTAACCACTGAGAAAACTGGCTAGGGCTAGAGATCCATGATTTCATTAGGGGGTGCAAAGTGGTGATATTCCAATTCTATCATTTCGTTTTCTTTTATTACTTGGATTACTCCTATAAAATGAAACTTGCCATCATTAATTATTCGATTATTCTGAGGTCTATTTTGTAGAGAAAAAGCAAGATAAATGGTTGAGTCCTTTTATTTACTAGTTTTTAGTACAATGTTTCTCCTCTTTTTAAAACATATAATTTGTACTTTATTAAAGTAATCCATGTCCAGCCCAGCTGGTGTGGCTCAGTTGTTGAGCATCAACCTACAAACCACAAGGTCATTGGTTCCATTCCTGGTCAGGGCACATGCTCAGATTGTGGGCTCAAGCCCCAGTGGGGGCATACAGGAGGCAGCTGATTGATATCTCTCTCATTGATGTTTCTATCTCTCTATCCCTCCCTCTCTCAAATCAATAAAAACATATTTTTTTAAAAAGTAATACATGTCCATAGTTTAAAAGTGAAATAGAATACAATTTTAGAAGGTTTCTAATGTCCACTCCCACCTGATTCCTGTTCCACAGTGGTAACTTTCATCCACTCTTGGCTTTTCTTCTTCCTTCTTCTTTTTAAATATATTTTTATTGATTTCAGAGAGGAAGGGAGAGGGAGCGATAGAAACATCAACGATGAGAGAGAATCATTGAACGGCTGCCTCCTGCATGTCCCTACCAGAGATGAGCCCACACCCTGGGCATGTGCCCCGACTGGGAATTGAACCATGACTTGCTGGTTCATAGGTCGAAACTCAACCACTGAGCCTCGCAGGTTGGGCTTGGCTGTTTCTTCTAACATTTCTTATTTTCTTCTAAATTTATGAATAAAACTATTGTGCTTCCACTTTATCTATTCTTACTATGGAAGATGTCTGTATTGTTTGTCTTCTCTTCCTACCCAAATTTCTCCTCATTGCCCTGAATAAGGGCAAAGCTGTAGAGTTCAGTCCTTGTCTCCCTGCTCTTTTCTCTCTGCATTCCT